CTGGAACCCATAGCCGAGCAGGTTTCCTGGGAAGAAGCTGGGCCCCTCACTAACGATGCCCCAGCTCTTGAAGTTTCTGTTTTCATTTGCCCATCATTTGTTGCTTCCTTTATGGAAATGATTAAACTCAGCAAATGATGAAACATGAAATCAAATAGTTTGGGAATAGTGTGGGCAGTTTAAAACTGGTTTGAAATACAGTGTGGAAACTTAAAAAAAAAAATTAATGTTAACTATCTGGGATCTACCTACTCCTTCCACCTAAAATTCCATTTCAGTTCATTTCATGAGAATAATTATACCCTGAAACAAATCATTCTTATTTGTCTTTTATAAGTCTTCACTCAGCTTTCCCCTATATTTTTCATCTTACTTCTGATTTTCAAACACACAGTCCAGTGGTAAAGCACTATATGCAGTCCAGCCACTTATAACTCGTGAAATGCATCATGTGTTGCCAGTCCTTTATTTCTTCCTCTTTCCCTCCCTCGCCTCCTTTCCTTTTCCCTTTCCTTTGTGCACACAAACTATAAGAAATTCATAGGGCAGGCTGCTAGGAATTAGTAATAATTACAATGACTTTTTCTAGAAGATGTAAAAATAAAAATCAGTCTAGACCCAAAGATGAGACAATAAACCCATTTAATTTGTAATAATGACTGACTTTTCTTTCTTACTGCATTTTCAAAGCTTTTTGTGTGGTTGGAGAAGTGTCATGGACAGTAAGTCCAGAGAATAATAGGACAATTTCAAAGCTGTTTTTCCTCCCCAATAGTCTATAAACCTCATGGCACTGAATTTCACACCCTAGCCCAGATTTACATTTAGATTAATGGATTCAGTCACTTCTCAGGGTCTGGAATGTGTCAGCCTTATTGATACTTACTAAAAGGAAATTTAGTTTCTTTACTTTCTAATGTCATGACTGTGTTGTCTACTGTGGATTACTGTTGATTTATGCAAACATAAAACTTATTTTTCTACAGAATAATTTTTCTCTGAGTCTTTTGGATTCATGTTTTTGGTAGACCTCTTGTGTGCACAAATTATGATGTCACAAAGTTATGGATTTTAAATGTTGATGGTAGCTCTTAGGATGTATTGGTATTCTTTCTTTCATTCTTTTTCTTTTCTTTTCTTTTTTCTTTTTCTTTTTTTGAGACAGAGTCTCACTCTGTCACTCAGGCTGGAATGCAGTGATGTGATCTTGGCTCACTGCAACTTCCACCTCCTGGGCTCAAACTATCCTCCCACCTCAACCTCCTGAGTAACTGGGATTACAGGCATTCGTCACCACACCTGGCTGATTTTTGTATTTTTAGTACAGACAGGGTTTCGCCACGTTGGTTAGGCTGGTCTTGAACTCCTAGGCTTAAACGATCCACCCGCGTTGGCTTCCCAAAGTGCTGGGATTACGGGTGTGAGCCACCGTGCCTGGCCTTTTTTCAATAAGACAGTCTTGGCTTCTGTCCTAGGCAGGGACGAGACAAATCAGTTTTCAAAATGTTGAGTTTCTCTCACCAATGAGATCATGCTAGGACCTAGTGGATCAAAAGGAGGATTAACAAGTCTATATGGTTCAGAGCCTCCTATTTTATTTTTAAAATATTTTTTACCCTATTAGATGCTTATTATTTCATTTTTCAAAATGGACAAAGGCTTATATAATCTTGCCAATATGCTAAAAATAATTGTCTTTCAGATAATCAGCCAGGTGTGGTGCCTTATGCCTGTAATGCCAGCACTTTGGGAGGTTGAGGTGGGAGGATTCCTTGAGCATGGGACTTTGAGACCAGCCTGGACATCATAGTGAGACCCTATTTCTACAAAAAAATTTTTTAAAAAATTAGTCAGATCTGATGGTGCATGCCTGGAGTTCCAGCTACTTGGGAGGCTGAGGTGAGAGGATGCTTGAGCCTGGGAGGTTGAGGCTGCAGTAAGCCATGATTGTGCTACTGCATTCTAGCCTGAGTGACAGAGTGAGACCCCGTCTGAAAAGAAAAAAAAAAATCCTCATGTATATTCTGCAAGTTTGCTCAGTTCTCACGAGCTTTTCCCATTCTTGATTGTGTCATGAAAAAGATGATTTTTGTGAGTCTTTCTATCTCCCAGAAAATCTGTATATGTCTGTGTCTGCCATATGGTTTCTTATAAGCCCAGGCAAACCTTTGTAGAGCCAAGCCTTGCAAGCCTGTCTGGTTCACATGCCTCCATATGACCTTGCAGGCTCCATTCCTTCCTTTGCTGTTCTCAGCACTTTCCCAGGGGCTGGGGAAAGTTTTGAAGCCTCTGGATGTGAAATCCTTGAAGATAATTCCAGGTTAGGAGATTATGTTGCCAAACATTTCCCAGCAGATGCACAGCTGGGTGGTGTCCTGCAGATTTCCAAGGTGTTGTCATCGGGGCTTTCTTGAGTAGCAGCAAATCCAACTGTGGCAAAGACAAGGCACAGTTGTTTTTCCAGGGAAATCTGTCCAGCTTCCTGTGGCATGCCTGACTGTCTGGGGTCACCACTGCTACTTGTGTGCTCTGGGGAGTGGAGCACTTATGCCAATCACAGCAAGCAGTATCTGTCATGAAGGAAACATGCAGAGGCCAGTTTTGATGACTTCTTATCTTCACTGACCATTAACATGTTTAGAATGGCTTATAAATATTTACAAATTAGCCAGGTGCGGTGGTGCGTGCCTGTAGTCCCTGCTACTCAGAAAGCTGAGGCGGGAGGATTCCTTGAGGCCAGGAATTCCAGGCTGCAGTGAGCTATGATCACGCCACTGCACTCCAGCCTGGGTGACAAAGCAAGACTCCATTTCTAAAAAATGAAAACAACATTTTTAAAAAGAGAAAGGTGTATAAACCGAGAACTTAGTCTTTCAAATGAAAGTACACCTGTGAGTTGCTTCTAGACTCAGAGTACTTAAAGGTGATCTGGTTGTTTATTATATTTGCTTGAGCCATTTTAGATCTCAAATTTGATATATTTTGAGGTCTCAGTTTATTCAGTCCAATGCATTTGGTATTGTAGCCAGAGGCTTAGCTCCCCGTCCTGGGAGGAGGAGGAGGACAGAGAGGACCAGGGGAAGGAGTCTGAGGGGTCAGTGCCTTTGTGTTCCTTCTGCCCACTCTGAGGTCCCCTTACAAAGGAGCCTGGACAAGGGCCTGGGAGATGGCATACAATTGGACCTCATGGGTGATCTGTTGCATTGTTTGCACTCATTTGGTGAACTGAGCATGTGACTTGTCAGGAATATTTTTCTTCAGCGTTGTAGCATGTGCCCAGTAAGGGAAATTTAATCCATATGTGTCAAAGATTCACTTACACTTAAATCATTAAAGCATTGTTCCGGGTTTTTTGATGTCTAACAAGTCTTTTGGCTTTTTCCAAGCAGTTCGAAGTCCTTTGCCAAAGACAAGCCTAATCCTGAGCACCAGAAAATTCAGGCTTTCTCCTTGAGTTGAAAACCCTTTCCTCTATCTCCGGGAAAAATTCCTCAGCCATTCAACATTTACCTGCCCCCATTTCTGAGGGACTCAGAGGAGCAGAGCTCTGGAGGGGGAGAATACGATACGGCCTGATTTACGCATCTGGCCCCGATCTGGTTCTGTTTTCGAACTTGGCAGGAGAGACAGGATGCATTTGACTTTCATCTACCTCTGCTTCACTGGAGACGTTGTGGGGCATGAACACCAGGCGTTTCTGAGCTCATGTGGTCTATGGATATGGAACGGAAGAAGCCTCTTTTCCCTGAAAGGACTTAGGACAAAATAGTAAAGAGCATCAATGCTCAGAGAAGAAGTATGGCATTTCTCTTCTTTCCAAGATAAGAGCTACTCATTCCCTGTTGGAGCTGCGTCTTACCAATAGCCTTTCATCCCTCACCTCACTAATAACTGCAGTTGCCTCGATTAGAGTTGGGGATGGTCCTAGGGCACTGTGGTGAGGCAGTGAAGGCTGCCTCTGGAGGGAACCTCTTTCAGTATCTCCCCTTCTTCTTCTTATTTTTTGGCACATTTTTTGTACTCCTACCCTTAGTAATCTTTTCTCAGAAACTGTCCCAGGTCCTTCCCGTCATTGAGGAAAACAGGAGATAAATGAAGTCCTGTGAAGTCGTTCCTGAGAACATGCTGCTTCTCCAGGACTGGTGACCACTGGATTATGTCTTTTTCATTTCTATGTCATTTCTGGTATAGTGCCTGGCCTACAGTTGGTGCTCAAGTAATGTTTGCTGAATGAATGTGGTATCTTTATACACAAGAGAGTCATGCTAACTCCCTTGATGGTGAAATTTCAGCTGCAGACCTACTCTCAACAAACATCCTGGTCTTTCTGTATTTCTTCTAGTGGTTTCATCCATTCAAACCCAGAATGCACATCAGAAAATACACAACTAAGTGGCAGCCCACGGGACAATGCTTTTGAGTGGATGTTTTTCTGCTACTGTCCAATCACCACAGAGAAGTTAAAGGTGATCCACCACTCAAGACAGAAGGGGGCTGACCCTTCTCTGCTGTTTGGCTTGGGCTTGTGTTGAGACAGTACATGGCGCCATCACTTGCTTCCTGCAAGATTCTAGTTTCTTCTTTCTGTTGAACTTCTTTCCTCTGTAATGTAAAGGCTAGACTAGTTCAGTTGTTCTCTGCATTTCATCTTATATGTACTTTTTCTGAGGTTCTTCTGACTTTAGAAAGGATCGGGTTTCCAGTTATTTGGAAGAGGGACACAGTCAGATTATTTCTGGGTCTCCTTGCTGGTCTCTCAGCTACAGTTTTGAGAACTCACGTGAGCCAAATTGGTTTATTTTATGTGGTAATTACTGGTAGCCTCCAGCAGTTAGAAGGAAGTGGTAACTGGATCTCTCTTTCTTCACACCTTAGTCACCAGGTGTTACGTACCAGTGAAAGTAAGTCTCAGGCAGAATTCTAGTATATAATTGGATGTTTATTAGTAAGCAATCGTGCAGTCTGCTCCAGTAAACTTGATGAAGTCTTTATCCTTTCAGGCACTTGGACTAGTACCCTGCATGAAAGTTCATTTCAAGGCAAACAGAACAATATCCTTGGAATGGGAGGAAAAGCTTCGAGCTTGAACAGGTAACAAAGTCCATCACGAAGTGGTAGAGGGTGAGATGAGACCTGGGGTCTCACACTGAAGCTGAAAGTGGTGGAGATTTTTATACTTTGTTTGTGCAAAGGTTGAGGTGCCTGCATACAGTTTGCATCTGCCACATATCTGGAGCACTTCTTATTTTACCAATGAAAATTTATGTAACATCCTTTATGCTAAGCAATGTTCTGGTGCAGATTTGGAAAGCAATCTTTAAAGCTGCTTACAGCAGGCTTCTCTGGGATAATTCTTGGTTAGGACGTTTCAAATGCTGATTGCCCTTTGGGAGTTCAGGTTAAGGTTCACACAGACATATATGGCCCTGTTTACACAAAAATATTCTTTTTTTTTTTTTGGAGATGGAGTCTTGCTCTCTTGCCCAGGCTGGAGTGCAGTGGCATGATCTCGGCTCACTGCAAGCTCCACCTCCTGGGTTCACGCTATTCTCCTGCCCCAGCCTCCCAAGTATCTGGGACTACAGGCGCCCGCCACCACAGCTGACTAATTTTTTTTTTTTTTTTTTTTTTTGTATTTTTAGTAGAGACAGAGTTTCACTGTGTTAGCCAGAATGGTCTCAATCTCCTGACCTCGTAATCTACCCACCTTGGCCTCCCAAAGTGCTGGGATTACAGGTGTGAGCCACCATGCCCGGCCCACACAAAAATATTCTTAAAGATACCATAATACAGTATTGAGAACTGATAGTCACTATGTTTCTATCAATAAATATATGATTAGGGTCCTTCTATGTGTACATGAAGGACTGAAATATCAAACTAAAAACCATTTGTAAGAAATTGGAAAGATGGTTTTGCATGGTTTTTTATCTTAGCAACAAGCAATACACAAAATTATCTCAAGCATCTGCTGTTTATGTTTATTTTAAATAAAAAATTGAAATAATATTTTTTAAAATAAAATGATTTATTGATATAATCAACTTATTATTTACTACATAGTTAACATAGGTATTTTTAAGTCTTAAAATATTTTTGAATCAGTTATTTTGATAGTTTCAAAAGTTATGTAACATGACACCTTTACGAAGTGATGTGTTTGTATAAGAAAATTCATTTTGGTCACAACAGGGGAATTATTCATCTAACTCAGTCAAGCACAACGCTTATATTTGTTAGCAATATAGTAATTGTGTTCTCAGAAGATTGTTTTATTGTCATTTCATATTGAGATTTTAGATACAGAACCAATTGCTGTCATATCTTGCCAAAAATTAGACACATTTCCAAGCAATCTCCATTATTTATTCATAATTTGAGTATTTTTTCTAATATAAAAAGGTCTCCCTTTTATCAGCCACACATAAATTCTGACCCCAAAGTACACTGATGTATGGATGTGATGGTTAAATGTGGAGGCGGGACTACTGCTTCATTCATTCTGTAATTCTCCCTAAGTGCCTACTATGTTCCAGGCACTATGCTGAGCACAGAATTGAACATGTGGGCACAGCAATAAACAGGCAGGTGTCTCCAGCCAGCCTCGTGGAGCTACAAACATACAAAAGTGGAGGCGCACATTGGTGTAACGGGCCAGATGACAATCTTGTGTCTTCCCACTGAGTTCCATTGTAAGGTTTGGGGTTATCTTGTGAACTTTGTTTCTAGGGTATGTGTGTGTGTGGTGCAGGGTGGTGGGGGGATGGGTAAAATATTACATTAATTAATTCTGTATGTAAAATAGTATATACATATGATAACATACACAAAGATAGGTGAAACAATCTTCTATGTGCTGGGCACTACGTAAGTCTCCGTGGCGAATCACACTCACTTTCTTAATTTTAATTGCTACTCAAATACTGATGGTTCCAAAGTATTAATATGGTTCTGATTTTCCCCTAGAGATTTGGACTTGCATGTACAAATGGCAGCTGTCTCCACATGGCCATCCCTCAGGCACCTCAAATGCAAAGTGACCCAGGGAGTCCCATCTGGTCCATTTAGACCTGTGCGCCTCATTCTCTTTTCAGTTGACGGTGCATCAGTGCTGAGGCAGAAACGGGAGCCATTCTGGATTTTCCCCGCTCTTTCAGATCCACAGCCAATCCAGTATCAAGTCTTCCTGATTCTAGCTCCTCGATCCTTGCGGCCATCACCTTCTCTTTGTCTCTGTTATTTCTGCTGTCATGTGAGCCCTCATTGCAGATCACCCTGAGAATCAAAAGAACCCCCTGCGTGATCAGTTCCCTTCCATTTATCTGCCTCAAAGTCAAACTCCACACAACCCAGAGAATAACTTACTAAAATAACAATCCAACCAGGCCCTTCCTTGTTGATATTCCTTCAATGGCTTCAAATCCACGATGGCATCACTTTTTCTCCTGTGGGTAGTGGCCCATCACTGGGTTATGAAGTCAGGCTAGTCCTCTGTGACAAGAGTTTTAAAGAAAAAAACCAAGTGGGATGAATTAGGATTGAATAGACTAAAAAACAGATAATTCTTTTACTTTTTAATTTTTTTGTAGAGTTGGGGTCTCCCAAAGTTGCCAATGCTGGTCTCCAACTCCTGGCTCCAGGTGATCATCCCACGTCAGCCTCCCAAAGGGTTGGGATTACAGGCATGAGCCACCGTGCCCAGCCCAGATGATTCTTATAAGATGAGAGTAAGTAATGTTTGCAAAATTTTTGTTTCAGGTATGTGTGTGTTACTGGGTAGCTACGAAAAATGTATTTTCTTTTCAAACTAGGAATCCTGCTTTTATTTTAAAAAGCTATTGATGTAAAGAGTTTCTCAAAATTTGCTACAGAAATACACTTAGAGACTGAGGAGGATAAATGTAATCCCCAGGGAACATGGGACATCTTGTTTATAAGTGAAAACATTTTCCTCTTTTATATTTACAGTTTACTAAAATTTTACATTCTGCTCACTAATAAACCTCCATTTACCTTATTATAAACAGAATTTTAAAAATTACTTATCTTTAAATATGTTTCTTCACTCTGAGTCTTTGCAAACTCCTGCCACACCACCCGGAGTCCTCCTTCCCTGGTCTCAAAGCCAGACCCAAGTGTTAATGGTCAAGCTGCTTAGCGCAGGTCACCCTGCTTTCTAGTGGCTGTCCCTGGCTACTCCACCAGGGCACTCCTTTACCTGATACTCTGGGTTCCAGAAATACTCTTTGCATCTCTTTCTATTCCTCCATGACTCTTACCTTCTTTCTTTTGTCCTTGCTGCAGCTCCTGGATGAAATGTCCAGCTTCCTTTCCTTCTCCAGGCTAACTCTTCTTCCTGTGTCAGAGCCCTGCTGAGGAGTCAGTTTCCCTCCAGGAAACCTCACAACCCTCCACACTGCTGAGGGGACCATATATTTGCACCACCCTGCCCCAAGCTTGCATAGGCAAGATGATAAGGAACACAATTATGTTTTAAAAGTTCTGGTTGCTGGTGACCTGGCCTCAGCCAGGCACAATTTGACATTTATTTCCTGGCATGCTACGGCAGCGGAATGTTATCTTGGGATATTGATTTGTGTTGTGCTTGTTGCATGTTCCATTTCCCCATTTAAGCAGGCGGCTGGCAAGACTTTGGAATCTTTACCTCGGGGACGATAATCGAAACTGCTCAAGTGGGATCTTCCTGCCTTTTGTCCAGTGACTGTGTTAATCATCCTGAATGGGATGGAGAGGAAGGGGTGGGGCTGTGGATGGTACCTTTGTGGACAAGCAAGAAGAGAAAAGAGAGACTCCTCAAAGGGGACAAGGGTAATAAAGTTTGGTAAATCTGGGCAGGGCTCTGGGCCAGTAGAAAGACCTCAGAGATGGGACAGGGAATGTTGAGGGGGTTGGACCCTTTCACAAGGTTTCCAGCCTGGCCAGAGGCTCCTGATCCCCAAGAGAGGCCAGGAGATGGCAGAGGTGCTGGCCGTGACGGGATGCTGTGGGCCGGGACATTAGGTACTGCAGCAGAAATCAGATGGATGAAGAATGCCTTCCTGATGTCCCAGCGCCGTGTATGGCTCAGCCCTCAGGCAGGGAACCCCAGCGGGACTGTGATAGCATTTTCTGTGTGCTGGAATTGGACTCAAATTGATTTAAAGAAAATAGAAAGGCTGGGCGCCATGACTCACGCCTGTAATCCCAGCACTTTGGGAGGCTGAGGCGGGTGGATCACCTGAGGTCAGGGGTTCGAGAACAACCTGGCCAACATGCAAAACCCCATCGCTACTAAAAGTACAAAAATCAGCTGGGTGTGGTGTGGGGTGCCTGTAGTCCCAGCTACTAGAGAGGCTGAGGCAGGAGAATTGCTTGAATCTGGGGGTCTGGAGGTTGCAGTGAGCCGAGATTGTACCACTGTACTCCAGCCTGGGTGAAAGAGTGAAATTTTGTCTCCAAAAAAAAAAAAAAAAAAAAAAGAAAAAGTGGTCCGTTTTACCCACCTAGCTTTGTGAGCTAATGTGGGCTAAGATTCACATCTGTTATATTATTGATTTTGGCTTTATAGTGAATATTTTGTTGTTGTTTTCGAATGGATAGCTGACATTTATATACATTAGCACCTTGTATGCATAGACTCATTTAATTCCCAGAATTCTTACAAGGTTGGCCCTATTGTGATCTTTATTTTGCAAATGAGAGAATAATGATAGAAACAATCTGTCCTAATTTCCAGCTAATCAGTGGTGGAATCGGATTTAAACCCAGTTCAACTGGATGTGGAGTCCAATTCCTCCCCACTCCCTCCTCCCGCCTCCCTGTGCTGTGTTGCTGGTAGATGCTGCTGCTTTGAAGACCATGCCATGTGCTTCCATTTTCTTCATGGGGCTTAAGTCAGTGAAGGGCATCAGAGCTGATCAGCAAACATGGGTTGATTCTCTGGTTGTTGACCTCATAGGAATTTACTTTCCTGTGGAAGGAGCCTGGCCCCTCTGCCCTGGATCTGCTGGACCCTATCTGGCCGAGAGGAGAGGGTGGTTAGAGCTGAACTCTCTTCGGCGCTATGCTCCTTCTCCTGCATGCTTTCTGCTGCCCGCCCAGCCCTGGGAGGAACAGCTGGTCCCCTTCAAGCTGTCTGTGTGTCCTCCTATGGTTTTGGTCTTTCAGGCTCTGTGAGGAGTGACCGGGTCCTGGAACTCAGTGTGCCCCAGTCACACTTTACAGTGTGACACACTTCAGAGTGCGACTCCCAAGAGTGGTTGTGGAACGAGCCTCAGGGGACCCGCTGATGAACAGCAAAGACGCTGAGGGCTGGCGTGGCGACAGGGGGAACCCTCTAGACAAGTCCTGATTTTTGTTGGAAGACATTTAAATGTCTCTTCCAGTGCAGAGAGACAAGGCCCCTGTGGGAGCCAAATTCCCTCTCAAGCTCACAGTTTTGTTTCCAGGAGAAGAGGTCACTTTCAGCTTTTATTATAACTTTAATTTGAAATTAAATGTGCCATTGGGACAGAAGCACTCTGTGCTGGGCTGTCTTCACAACAAGGGTGACAGTGTGAACTCTCACGGCGCTCCACACCAGGGCCTAGCCAGGGCGACAGAGCGGTGATTCATGCCATCTGGGGCCTGCCGTGCTGTGAACTCCAGGAGGAAGCTGCGTGACTGAGAGCTTTTGTAGCTCAGGGGCTGGAGGGTGAAATCTGAACCATTTCTGTTCCCTTGTCTTGTTCTCATCCGAGCCCAGGCAGTGGAAGGAGCTGAGGTCTGGGAAACAGTCGAGCAGGCTGTTTCTGGCAGGCTCGGGCTAGCGTCCCACAGGACCACGGGTCTCTTTCTGCTGTCCCTGTCAGGCTGAGCCCAACCCGCCCGGTGTGAGCAATGTCAGACCTCCTCTCAAATTCAGAGCAACTCCTCAAACATGAATAACCACAGGCTGAATGGGCCTTTCCCAGAAGATTTGACCTTGGCAGTCTGGGGTTTTGAATTTGGTGGTTTCTGAAAAGCACACATGCAGCTGCAGAGGAGGCGGTGGGTCTATGGCAGCTCCATGCTGAGCATCCGATCCTGCTGCCTGTGTGCTGCGGCCCGCTCCCGAGCCAAGAAGGAGAATTGTTAATAATAGGCCGTGTCTCTCCAAGAGTTGCTGGAGAGAACTAGCCATGCACTAGTCTTCTGGCCTTTGCTTTAAGTTTCATATATGTTGAGTTGTACAAATCTACCTCCCCACCAAATGTCCTTAGAGGGTCAAAGACGGTCTTTGTTTCTTCATGATAACATTGCCTTTCTTTTTTTTTTTTTTTTCTTCTGAGACACAGTTTCATTCTGTCACCCAGGCTGGAGTGCAGTTGTGCAATCATGGCTCACCACAGCCTCAAACCCCCGGGCTCAGGTGATCCTCCCACCTCAGCCTCCCCAGTAGTTGGGACTACAGGGGTACACCTCCAAGCCCTGGGTAATTTTTACAATTTTTATAGAGACTGGGTTTTTCCATGTTTCCCAGGCTGGTCTTGAATTCCTGGGCTCTAGTGATTCCTCTGACTTGGCCTCCCAAAGTGCTGGGATTACAGGCATGAGCCACCACACCCAGCTGCTTGTTAAGCTTGAGAATAGAGTTGCTGGCCCTCCTTCTGTAAGCTCTCAGTCTGTCTGCAGAGGCCAGCCTTAAGGTAACTGTTTCCGCTGCTCAGATGGCCCCAAGCAGGGGAATCCCAGGTGTGACATTGGGTACATTGGTCATCCGTCTGCCTCCCACCTGGATGGAAACAGTCTGAGATACACACTTACCTACGTTCTTTTTCCCAGTATGGGACTTGAATGCTGCTATTGGTGCACATTTCTGCAGACGTGTCTCTGGCTCTCAGGATGCAGAATGTTGGTGGGTCCAGTGTGGGGGCTGCCAAAGGGGGTGTCATGTGCTCTGTGGATTTTTGTGTGATTGTAATGGTCCCAGCTGAAGTTCTCCTGTTTGTTGCAGTAAAACCTCTCTTCAGTGTCTGTTACCTTTCTCTATATTCTTGGTGAAGGAGAGAGATAGTCATAAGGGCCCTGAATGAGGTAAGAAGAGAAGATGCTGTTCTCTGCTTCCTCCCCGCCACCAACATTCCTTCTGCCCTGTTTTTCCTGGCCAGCTCTACTCTGGGCAGTCCAAGCCTGTGAACCAGCCACACCCAGGATCTGTGTTGGAGCTCAGTCCCAGACTGTTCTGGAAGAGTCGCCCAGAGGAGCCGTGTGGTCTCCCATTCAGCAACAGAGTATGAGATGGTCTCTCTGAAGGGCGGAGGGTCTAAGCACTGCCCGCTTCCTAGCATCTAAGGCTGAAATGCTGAATGATGCAATGAGAGGATGCCAGGGGAGAAAAGGAGCTGTATATGGGCTTGATTCTTCTCTCCCCAGCTGGTGGACACAGCACCAGAGGTGGAGCTGGAGGCCAGGCCCTCCGTTGACTCGCATGTACTCCACTTTGCAGTTGTACCCTGGGACACACTTCTATCTCAAAGTGTTATGAATTCCAACCACTGGACTCTACCCTACTTCTGACATAACCTTCTTGGGTTGATAGTAGCCTCTCTCATTACTGAATACTACTTCTTATGCGTAACCCTGGTTAGTCATTTTCTTTTAACTTTTTGTTTAAAGAAAACCTGTAGATATGAGCTTTTCTGTCAGAGATGATCTCTCCAGGCCTGAGTCTAAACTGTTGACCCTCTGTCAGAGAATGAGGGCTGGCTCTTGCATTTCAGGCGCTTTGACATTTACTGAGGGAAAGAAGGAGAATGGAAGGAGTGAGCATAAAGCACTGACCTGAGTGGAATGGCGGGTCGACTTGCCAGAGCCTGGAGATGATTACACTCTGTCAGCTTTGGGACAAGCTGTTCAATTTCCCAAAAACCAATTTGACAATTGTCGAGTGACCAATTTGCTGAATTAGAAGAATTTACTAATTTACCAAATTACGTATTTCTTTTATGCATTTCTAAAGACTTGAGCAATTGGCATGGGCTGGGTTGGCAGGGCCTGAAAGGGTTTGGAGCAATGAGTCAGAAGCAAAGGTCTCTGGGAACAACCCTGTAGGTGGCGCCACTCTCCAGACTGAGAGGGGCACTGGGTGGATGGTTTAGAGTTAGGGGAGGCTTCGCTGTAGAGATCTGAGCCTTGCTGACTCTTTGGTTTCTGTTTTTAAAGCAATCCTTATTTTTTGTCATCTTTGTTTCTCAAAAGTCAGTCAGCTCACCACTGTGGATTCTTCCCTGACTTCCTGGCCGTACACACTTCCCATCCTCACACCGCCTGTCTTGTTTGGCTCTTCCCTCTCTCTTTCTCCTCCTTCACCCTGGAGCAACACCAAAGCCCTCTCATGTCTTCCTGTGGAGCACTGGCAGAACAGCACAGCCCTCTCCTTACTGTTTTGTTCTTATGACCCTCAGACCTTCAGGGACTCACTTTCTCCCACAGCACTGTAGCCAAAAGAAAGATTTCTTTCCTAAGACAGATTATGGTATCAGCTCTTCAAATACCATTAAATTTTTATTTTCTACACATAAACACATTCTTATGGTTTTGGAAAATGTATAAAACCAAAATTTTTGCAAACTCACTGTGATAGCCTTCATATATTAGGCATTCAATCAATATTTTAGTGATTAACAAATGGGTGGTTTTTATAATGAGCCTCACCCTGTTATAACCAAATACTTGTGTCAGAGAAACTAGCTTGCTTTTATATCAAGATCATGGCCCTGGATTTGGATAATGCCACAGAAATATTGTCAAGCGTTGTTCAGTCGGCTCTGCTCTTTCCAAGTTGAGGTGAGCTAAGGGAGCTAACGAAAGGAAGGTTTGGTTTCCAGCTCCTTTTTTCTCCTCCCCTTAACTCTTTGCTTAAAAAAACTCTCTGAGGCCATAAACTACTAGGACACAACTGCCTATTAATTAGCCATTTATAACTAAGTTTCTGTTTATTTTTTGGACCAATAATTAATTTGATAGGGTTATAGGAAATCCTATGCTCCTGCAACTGAGAAGACACTGTCTAAACGTGGATCCAGATTGAGGAGGTCCTTTGGGGTCTGTTGCTTCTATCATTGACCTGACCCACATGGAGTCTCAAATTCAGACCTCTCAGAAAAAAGGAAGAAAGGCTTCATCTGCAGTGGGGATTTAAAAAAAAAAACCAGAAACATCTATTCATGGTCTTGGAATTGAACCTTAAGGCAAAGTCGGATCTCAGATAAGATTGGTAGATGATGAACTTGCAGTCCACACCCCATTACTGTTGATACGTTCCACCTCTTTCTATTGCTGGGGTGTGATTACTTCAAAGCCAGGAAGAGCTGCAATCTAATTTTAGAGGAATGCCCTTCTTGTACACATTGGTGAGTATATATCTTAATATATGATGTATTTATCTATATAATTTTAGTAGTTGTGTAAGAAAAATTGGGATAGGTAAACAAAAGAGAGCAGCCGAAAAGTCTATCTATAAAGGCTTCAGGTTAACATAGTTACTTATATTGCGTCTACCACAAATCTGTGGGTATGACTTTTATTTGTTGGGAAGGGTTGTCTTTGAATTTCCTGTAAAGTTTGGCATTTTAAATCTTTTTCTTTGACTCTTCTCCTGTGAAATATATATCTTGGAAACTTGGCTGTTTCTGTTTCCTGAGCTTCACAGTGAACCACAAAACCAGCAGTAACTGTAATCCACCTCTTAAAATGTAATCCCTTGGGACAGTCCTTCTCAATGGCAGAATAAGAAACACTGTCCTGGCAGAGTAAGGGTGAAGATAAGGAGAGCGATGACCTATTCCTGTACTTATCTGGGAGCACATGTAGGTATGAGTAACAAGATCAAGAGATGCCAAGGGTGAAGGGAGATGTAGGAGCCCATGGATTGCGTGAGGGAAATATGGATCCTGTGAAGGGCAAGCTGTTTTCTTTGTGTGGACGACCCAGATAAAGCAATGAAAATGGATAATAAGGACACTAAGGACAAGAGCCTTCCAAGGCATTAAGGCAAATGAGATTGTAGCATGGATACAGAAGGGAAAGGAGAGAGAGAAAAAGTAGATGGAAAAGTAAATGACTCAAACCTTCCATTACTGAAAGTTCCAAATATTTCTTTAATGGCTGTCACCAGATTGTAGGCCTTCATTTTTCACCGGTCAGCATTCCCTCGTCTTCTTTCTGTTCATAACAAAAGTGAGTTCCTCTTCTGACCACTAGAGGTCTCTAGAGAATCACCGATCAACGTTTGAAGCCTGATACCCTCTTGCTATCAACCACTCTAGGAGGTGGAAATGTTTATTTTTCCAACATGAATAGTCACATAGTCACAAGAGATCCAAGGCCTGAGACTTAAATTTCTAAAAATTAAAAAATGTATATAGCTGCCTACTCAACTTCAAGCTGCCTACTCAACTTCAAGCTGGCACTGACCATCATCCCTCAAATATGTCCCTTGCTATTTTGATGGTAGAAATTCTGCTATTACACAGAATAACAGCACTGCTTCTACCAAAAAGGCAAATGCTTTGGAGGCCTAATTTATACAATCATAATAGGTTATTTATACCATAGTATGAGTGACTCCGTTGGGCCTCTGCCATTGTGATTACGAAGGATGACAGATCAGGGTTGCTGGGGAGACGAGGACGGCAATGAAAGAGGAGGTGAAGACAAATTTCATCTACTTCACACCATTGCAGCGATCTGACCCCAGGTCCTCTTCCAACTTCCTCCCTCAGTAAGTGCTGCGGGTGTGTAACCCAACTCTGGGGTCAAGTGAACAAACTGCCCTCAGCTTCCTTAAGTCTTCCTGTTCAAGACAATGACTTCCAGACTTTCCTGGGACACTGACATTATCACCTCTGGAGTCCTTGATGTGACTCTCTTCCTGGTCACATGAACTGTAGCTATTTTGGGCGTGTCCAACATGTTTGACAGTGCCGGTGATGACAAGTGTACATTTCAACATTCCATTATTTAGAACACGCATGTAATTATTTGTAATGAATCACTGATGACATTTGGAGAACAATGAAGTCCTCTTTTAATGTTTGGACGATTAGCTATGGGAAAGGTTTACTTTGATGGTCTTTCATTTTTATCTCAAGAATTTTGGATATTATTTCCTGTTGCACTCTGGTGTATGTTAAGTTTTCCTACATTTATCCGTCCATCAAACATTTATTGAGAGTCTATTAATTTCCTCTTATACTGAAGGCTCTGTGAATATGAGGATGAATAGGAAGAATAGGGCAGGGTTCTCAAGAAGTTCATCAGTTGATAGAAGGGCAAGATATGTTGAGGCAGTTACAAAGTGCATGATAAATAGAGAAGTACAAAGTGCATTGGGACTAGGAAAAAAATTTAAAAAAACTTCTAGAAAAATAAAGTTCATTTTCTCAGCTTGTTTGAAAGCCATCATCTGTTGTTACTGTTTTTTATCAGGGAACAGTAGTCTGATAATTCACCTTGATGCCTTTGGTACATTTTTCAATTGCTTTTAGCTCTTTTAAAAGGTGCTTGCCACAGGGTGGAAGGGTAGAGTGTATGGAAGGCAATGTGGCCAAAGCCTACTGGTATAACCCATTCCACAGGAGTGACCTCTCATCTGTTCAGAGGAAGACCAGCGGCCAGTAGGGTTGCCTGTGTTTTCACAGTGGATATCTTGGAGCTCCTGAGGTTGGTACTGCTGGGACACAGAATATTCCCTACTGAAGAGAATGTTATAAAGTGCCTATGTTCTTTACTTCTGCAGTTTTCAAGGATTGTGCCCATCTCTCAGTAACCTAGCCTTCTTTTGAAGACTTGCTTACAAGACAGAAAATTAGGTGAGTGGCTGAGATTTAGAAGTGCATATCTACCAAGGGGGAGAGAATAAACTGTCTTTTGAGCAGAGAGGTGGGGCGAAAGCTCATCACCTTCCTGGGTCCAGTATTCTCGGGAGACCATCTCTTCTGCTGAGGATGGCTTCCTGCAATGTGCTGTGGGGTTTGTTTTATTTCTGACCCAAAATAGTATTTGTATTCAGTTCTCTCAGTGGAGAGAGTGGTGAGAGCAAATTTCATTTCTTCATTGTGCAAAAGGACACATATATTTATAATGAACAACTCCATTTGGCTTTTTACTTTTAGGTGGACATAGATTTCAGTTGATGCCAGATCCTCCTTTTTCCTTGGAGAATCATGTTTGTACTTTCTTAAATTATATGTATCTATCATTCTGCATTTTCTTTACACTGATACTCTTTTTGGAAACTTTTTTTTTTCCTTTTCAAACCTAGAAACCACAAAGTGAAACAACAGGGAACATATTCTTACAACTGGGGGGTCAACATGACAGACATGTTTGGATGTCTGTTACATAGCTTGCTGTAGACCCAACTATTAAATAACTGAACATGGCCAGGCGTGGTAGCTCACGCCTGTAATCCTAGCACTTTGGGAGGCTGAGCCAGGCAGATCATGAGGTCAGGAGATCGAGACCCTCCTGGACAACATGGTGAAACCCTGTCTCTACTAAAAATACAAGAATTAGCTGGGCATGGTGGTGCATGCTGTAATCCCAGCTACTTGGGAGGCTGAGGCAGGAGAATCTCTTGAACCAGGGAGTTGGAGGTTGCAGTGAGCTGAGATCGTGCCACTGCACTCCAGCCTGGTGACAGAGCGAGACTCTGTCTCAAAAAATAAAAAAATAAAAAAAATAAAAAAAAGAACATATACGAAGACTATAAGTAGGAAACTTACCCACCAAGAATTAAACAAGAATTAAAAGGCTTTCTGAATCCAAGCTCTAACTTATTTTCAAAGCACTAATGTAGGTTAGTTGACATTTGTCACATGCAAGATGTATTAGGCATTGTGAGATCAGATTATGGAGAATGTGGGAACCTGAGACTGACAGTTGCCACAGAGGAAGGGATGTTGAGGTTATCGTGACATTACTCACAGAAGGCTCTTGCATCACTCTCCTCATCTCCCTTTCATTACTAGTAAGAATTAGAATCCCAGAGGCCTTTGGTTTGCTTTTCTGCTTCTATGCTTCAGAAGACCTGGTACCATGTAGTCATTAAATGGATGCCCATAAGGCCCGAAGCCTGGAATTATATTTACATCCTGTTGACATATATTTACATAGGTTGCTATCATTATCTGTTTTTGATCACCCTAAAGGGGCTTTGGAAATACAAGTATTATACAGCATCATCTTTGAAGACAATATCTTTCTTTGATGTCTTTGAATTTGGAGGTCTTAGAACCAACTTAGAACCCATAGGTGAAAATTACAAAACCTAGGTGTGGGGTTGGGGGGAAGCTGGAGAGCAGAACAATGCCATTGACAACTTGGTATTCCAAGAACAGAGAAAGCTATTTCAGGATAGTTTTCTCATTTTGAACACCAAATGCCTGTCCAAGTTCTGGAAAATGTAGCTTAGGGGTTGTATGAGTGCTGGGCAGCTCTTGATCTGAAGTTCCTCATCCTGGCCTTTGATCTCCGCCTCCTCTACTGTCGCCAGGATGGAGGGTAATGGAGTTGAGTTCAGATCAGCATTTGAAGTAATGCTGTTCTCACACTGTCCTCTGCTCAAGTTTACTCAGGTTCATTACAGGGGTGGGGTTAGAGGGCCATTTGTCTTGGGCCTCAGATTGAAGAAGGAGCCTCAAAGCTGAACTTCTAAATCTTTCTCCAAAAGATGGTGTGCATATGGTTGTTAAAATTATTATTGGGACAAAAACACTTATTTGCTAAATGTAAATGTATGAAAAATACTGTAATTTTTGTAGCAGTATTTTAACACATTTAAAAAATATATTAGAAGTGTCCAATTGTGGAATTGACTCAAGATGTCTTTCAGCTTCTGAGAAGCTCAGAATTTACCACCAAACAGCAGCCAGTGTATGAGGTCCCTTGGACTTTTGTCCCATTCTAAATGACCCAGCTGATAGAGCCTAAGAACAGATTAGATTCACCACAGCTCCTGATCTTTGAGTATGTACTTCAAAGTGGGGTTTTTAACATCCGTTTTTAAACTTTGCTCTGCATGCTTGTAGGACACTAACATTTTTTGACTTATAAGAATTAATATTTTACCCATTGAAAAAGTACCCTAACTGGGCGACATTTCTAACTATTTAAATTGGGAGAAAAAGGCTGAAATGGCCAGAGTTCATGGAGAAAAAAGTGAAATAGGGTCTGCCAATATCTGTTAGTACTCCATAGGAACAAAGCAGTGGAAATGAAACTCAGCGTTTGGGCTGTGCATGTGTGCATGTGTGTGCGTGTGTGTGTGTTTGTGTGTGTCTTTGTGCAGTTGGCAGATCAACCCTAAACAGGCCTCGTGTGGCTGAGGCTTATGCATACACAAATCCAGGTGGTGGCCTCCAATTGCAAAAAAATTCTTTGTTTTGCCTTTCTCTGGGCAGAAAGTACTGCCAATAATATCTGAGTAATATCTGGGGCTCATTTCCATTTGGCTGTGGAGACTTAGGTCTCTAAAACTTTCCAAAAAAAATGTCCGACTGGGCCAGTAGGGAAAGCCATGACGCAATCTTAGTGGACTCATTTATGCTTTGATTGCCATTTCCTGTAGATATCTGTGTTTATACATTACGAGGCATGATGTGCTTCATCTTCTTATGTACTATTATTTTAATTTTTCCAATGATAAAATAGTGCTTTTTTTGTAAAAAATTTGGAGAAATGTATCCTATACAGAAGCTTAAAGGAAGCATGTATAATCTCAGCAAGCAGTGTTATCTCATGCTGACTTAATTCTGAAAGGAATTTTAGTAATTTTTGTTAATTATTTGTTAATTCTATGCAGATCATTCCATTGAAAATAATAATGACAGAAACATCAGAGTTTTAGGTTTGATTATCAAAACCTGTTTACTGTGACCCAAAAATACAACAGGGACCTGTTGGGATGCATCTAAATTCCAAAGGTCATGTGGACACATCCTCAAATCTTTTGTTTTTGTTTTAAAATGACAGTGATGGTAAATATTTATTGTTGACTGTGTATCATTGCCCTACATTTTTTATGTGAATCAACTATTTTAATAATTACAGGAACCTTAAAGGAAAGTGCCATTGGTAGTAGAGTCCCATTTTACAGATGGAAAAATTGAGATGAAAGAGATTAAGTAACTTGGCCAAGGTTACAGGCTACTATGCAGTAGAGGTGAGTCAGCCCGTCTTCCAGAAACCCTGAGCATCTTCCCTTCTAAACTTGAAAGTGTTTAGTTTCTTCAACTAAGGGCATAACCGGGTCAGTCAGGATGTATTTGAGCACATGAAAGGGCAGCAAAACCCATCTCTCTACTTTGATTCCTGTAGAAACATGTCCCTTGTGTTAAGTGGTGACCAGCCGTGTGGGGGTTTTGCTCAGGCGACAGGCTGGAAATGCATGTGTGGCAGGCGGGCTTGTGAGATCACATCCGAAGCTGGCTGGATTCAGTTCAGTCCTTTGGACTGTTGATTCAGATGAGGGGGAGAAGAGGCGAACCCCTCTTCTTTGGCTTAGAAGATTACGGATCTGTAACTTCAAAAGCTGTTTGCAATTTTATATTCGCGTCTCGCTGCCAAGGTGCTTGTCTTATCTGACTCTGTTGGCTGGGGCTGTTGTGAGTAAGCTGGGCGGTTTCCTCCTGCATTTGGAAGGAAGTTGCAGGGGCAAGAAGGGGGGTGGGTGGTGGAGAGGTGAGTGTGGCTGAGAGGATGACACCAGCGGAAACAAGGGAAATAGGCTGGGAGGAGGGCCAGACGCGCAGGGTGTGTGAGAGTGAACTCAGGGAGAGGAGAGGAAAGGCCCTTTCCTAGCGTGTGCTGATCTGGGAGGACGCACCATCTAAACAGGAAGAGCACAGATGCAGAGTCAGACAGACCTGCTTGGGGTTCTTGCTCGCTGGTTTTAAGGCTTTGTGACCTTGGTCAATTTACTAAACCTCTCTGGCCCACTTTCCTCTTCTGTACTGTTTACTGTATGGTCTGTTTTTTGCTAAGCTCAGGTGGTGATGCTGCCCTCAATACTCCATGCCCAGCTTGTTACAGAAGGAAGAATGCTGGTCTAGGAACAGGAGATCTGGGTGAATTTTCTGTCCTTATTCTTCATCAGCTCTCTGACCCTGGGCAAGACTAAGAACTTCTGTGACCCCCAGTTTCTCAATCTGTAAAATGGGTATAATAATACATACCCTTTTAACTTCACAAGGTTTCTGGCAGGCTCAAAGAAGATCAGGTGTTTGAAAAGATGTTGTGAACCTAAAAGGGGTATACGATGAGCTGTTCTAGATGCTGGGTGAAAGGTGCAACTGAACACACAATACTGGTGGACTGCTGGGTTCTCACTCAGGGATGGCAGAAAGGTTTCAATTTGTGAGCCAGCTCTCATTGACTGGGAGTGGCTGCCTGGACCTCCATCTGGAGAAGGATCCTGAGCTTTGGCTGGGTTCTGTGGGAAAGAGTGCTGGTGTTGATTATTAATGTCTGTCATGGACAAAGGGGTAGGAGAAGTGGTTCTTGGATTGTGCATTTGCTCTTTCTGCTCCAGCCTAGTGATTTCTAAATTCAGTTGCTCATTTAGATTCTCCTGGTAAAAATGCCCCATCAGGCAGATTTCCCATTTCATAGGCCTGAATGAGACCTAGGGTAAAGGCAAGGAATCTTCATTTTTTAAAGAAAGTTTTCCTTGCTGGTTATTTTGATAGTTGTGCAGGTGTGGAGAGGTGGGGCAGGCATCGAGTCACATGGGAGCTCTGGATGAGTCTCATGGAGCTCGGAGCATTGGAAGAATGGAGCACAGAAGAGTTAAGCAACTTTTCTAGACATGGTCATAAGTTTAAAAAATGTGGATCAGGCCTGTGGTTTCTAGTAGGTTGCCTAACTCTTTCTTCATTAAACAAATGGGTTGTATTGTCTGTTTTGATGATTCTCCCACTGGCTTCAGGCCTGATCATTTTTCCTTGTGGTTCAGACAGCTGCTCCAAAAGGGTCAGATTCTGAGATCCATTGTCCACCCTGGCTCCTGCTCTGAATCGACGTCAGTTTGCAACTAGTAGTTTCATAAATCAAGAAAAAGAAGAAAGGCAAATTAATGACTGTGTTAACTAGAGGGGCTCTGAAAATTCTGCTTTACATGTACTTATTTTGAATTTTGCTTTTATTATTATGAACTTTGAATTTCGCTTTTATTATAATGAACTTGCAAACACAGCATTGTAAAAGTATATGCACCTCCCAAAGATGCTGGGAAGCAGTTGATATTTCATCATTTGAGGTTGTGCCTGCAAGTAGCAGAGGTGCAGGAGGAGACAAATAAAACGGATGCCTGCATCCTATTTCCATGAATTTCTGTCCTCTGAGCTGAAAGACAATTGACAAGTTGGCTAATAAGACCTTGAAGAAAGAAGATACTTTAACCTTTAATTGAAAAATCCCCATTTCTTCTCATTCAAGAAGCAAAAGAAGAAACTATCATGATGGACACTCTTGTGCTAGCATCAGTCATTTTGATCACAAGACATGGACCAGCCCACCTTGGAGCTCACCATGGTGGTGGCCTGGTCCTCATGCAAGTTGTCATGGAGCTCTTGGAAATGGCTGTAGACTTTGCTGAGCAGGAGCAACTATGTCTCTGGTTCTTAAGGATTAAAAAGGTAAGGTTGCAGTTCTGGATGCTGGCATTACTTCAGGGCAACACACACACACACACACTCAGTAGTGTAAGTCATCCTTTCTCTCGCATGGGGAGATGTGTACTTTTTTTTTTTTTCTTCTTGAGATGAAGCCAGACTGAAGAAGAAAGAACAGAAAAAATCACAGGCCCACAGCTTACATGTCATTCATACAGGCAGGACTTAGGGCCTCGGCTTCTGCCAAAAGAAAAGGACAGTCTGCACACTATTTCTTGATAATACATAACGATGTTTACAGCAGCAAATGCTTTTAACTCTGCCCCGTCTCTGCTCTATGAGACTTGAAGGCATTGGAGTTTGAGACCTGTGAGTCAGACCTTTATCTGCCTATACTTTCTGAGAACTCATGTAAGAATGAAAACACACACATACACACACACAAACACAAAAAGACAAACACCAAACACCAAAGCATTCTGACATGAAACTCTGGTGCACATTTCTCTGAGGCAGTACATCATTTTAAAGCTTTTAATTTCTAGAGTGAGGAGTACATTAGTTGTGCCAGATGAATATTCACATTCCAGATACTCGAGGATTTATGCTGATTCTAACTTTGAGGGTTACACTTTTGAGTTTAATTTTGTCTTGTTTTAAGCATGGGAGTGAAGGGAAATACAGGAGTGCACAAGTAGGCAAAAGGGCAGGCATGATTGATGGCCATAGAAAGTCCTGACAAATTTGTAGTCAATATTGTTTGTCTAGAGAGGCTTGTGTGACAAAAGAAGTGTCAGCAGCCACTGAAGTCTCATTCTTCAGGACCCGGCCTCCGAGTTAGAATAGGGGGCTTGAGTGAAATGCCTGTCATGCTTAATTGGAAAAATCACTCCAGATGAGTGAGAGAGGCTGACAGTTATGCATTACAGAGAGAATTTAGTGTGTCTTACAAGGTTGATACAGGCACCAAAAGTGACTGACTTTAGCTTTTCCCTATTAGGAAGGCCACTGGAAGGATAAAACCCAAGAAAAGAAGCTACTTCTTGCTTCAGATTCACAAGTGCTTGTAAAAGACTTCTACCTTCATTACTTTCATTGTCACTCTGGTCTTAACCTCAATTCCTTTTTTTCCCTAGGTTTTCATTCTGTCTTTGCTTTCTTAAATACCAGGGACAATTTCACTGGGCATACAGTGGAGGAAGGGAAACCGTAGACTGTTACTCATTCTCTCTCTGTCTCGCTCTCTCTCTATCCCTTTTTTTTTCTCTCTCTCTCTCTCTGAGTGTGAATGTTTGCCTGTCTTTGTGGAATTGGTCATGAACATTTCCAGCCATTGCTTCCAGTGCACAAAGGCTAAACTCACTTTTGTCATTTGGTAATTTGTTTATCTGTCAGCATCTCCTACCCTGAAATGATGAGGCTTTGAGAGAGCTGTGGTTTCTCATCCAGGTGAGGTCTGAGAGCCTATGGTTCTATGAGGGCTAGAGAGTTTGAGAGGGGAGATGGATAACTCATTCTCTGAGTCCCGGGAGCCCGCTGTTTCAGGGCTAGCACCACCAACATTTAGACGCGTGGGTGCAATTTGGTCATGGGTCCCTTGAGTTTAATTTTCATCTTCCTGTTGTGTGTCTCAGCATTTTTCTCTGTAATTGCATAGATTTTTGAGAGGCTGAGGACAGCTGCTTTGGCTTGGAGCTTCTGAGCCTGTTTGGCCTCCAAGACTTCAGCCACCAAGTTGTTATACAGCAGTGCTTCCTTTGTGTTGTCCCTTGGTGATGTGTTGGGGTTGGTGGCATTTATGAAAAGGATGTGGCCTTCAAGACTGCGTAATTCCAAACTTGCATAATTCAGGCCATATCCTGAATTCAGTTTTACAGTTCATTTGGCCTGCTAGCCTTACAATTCTTTGATCCTCAGAAAGAATTTAAATTTGAGGCACTTATATTACCTCACATTTTGAGTGTGAAGAGACTATATGAATTTTTCATATTACACTATTTCGAGTTTGTGTAAAATATGGCCACGTTAGATTATTCTATTGGGGTTTGTGACTGTTAACTCTCACAATTCTTAAAAGTATAATGTAATTCATGGAGCGAAGTATCCTAAATCCTACGCATAGAAATGTGAGTCTAAGTCTTTTGTAAATGAGTGGGTAAGCTAACAAGACTTGGAAAGTATTTTGAGGTAAATGTTAGGGATATTATTAATATCTTTATATGGTGCAGCCTGAAATGCCTCAGTAACAAATTCACTTCATTGAATTCAATAAAGATTTATTTAGTACCTACAAAGGGCCAGCCCAGCAGAATAGTAGACATTGGAGCTACCACAAGGATCAGAATTGAAGTCAGTGAATTGAACTCGAGGACCCAAGAATGGTAAACTCAAGCCAGCCATGTGTGACCTTTGATACTGCAGAATGTATTTATCTTATTCTCTTACCTTTTAAACTTATTCTTTCATGAAGAAACATATAGCACTGCCAACTGAAGTGAGGAGAAAAGTAAAAGTATTTAAGACATTTTTTGAGAATGTCCAACGGCAGAATGGAAAGTCTCTATGAATTTTTTTGTTCAAGTTTTAAGCATAACACTTTTAATTTTCACTGTTGAGGCTCCATGCCACTTCCTAGCTATGTGTCTTTGAGCAAGTCATTTAACCTGATTGTGCCTTCATCTTCCCTTCTGTTAAAAATGAAGAAAATAAAAGTGACAGAATAAAAGGGTTGTTTCAGGGATTGAGTTCACATTTGTTAAACTCTCAGAACATCCTGACGTATTCTCAATAAATGTTACACTACTTTCAATAAATAATATCTTTAAAAAATGTCCTCATCTATTTTTTTATTTTTTTACTTTTTGGTTTTAGTGTGTATGGTATGCTTATGCAATGGGATCTTTGTCTGTGATATCGAAGTCTTTCAATGGCAGCTCAATTTTCATTGTCCAGAATGGCAGACATTCTGGTCATTGTCCAGAAAGTTTTAGAAGGTGGAATTTAATGTATTCTGAATACAGAACTCAATCCAGATATCAAATTGCCTTGGTGAGATTTACTTCTCTGGTTAAAGTATGATGCAGGTAAAGTTCCAATCCTGATTAATGCAGTTGTGGTCAAAGGTTAATTTTATTTCGGAAATACAGTATTTAAGTGGCGTCTATCACTTAAATACTATGATAAATGCTGAGCCCCATGGTAGTATTGATGGACCTGAAAATATATGTTTTTTCAAGTGCTTTTACAAGTGAAAAAATGTAGCTAAAATGTTATTTCTCTATTCTATTTAAAATTAGGTTTCTTGGAAGAATGTTCATTTTCTGAAATAAACATCCCGTTGAGCCTAGTGGTATGTATAAATATGGATTCACTAAATGTGGGTTTGCTTAAAAACAAGATATGCCCAATGAACTTTGCTTCCTTTTTTGATAGAGTAGGGAGACTGGTGGGGAGGGGAAATTCCACAGACAAAATGTGTCTGGATTTCAGGAAGACGTTTGATAGAGCCTCTTATTACGTCCTTGTGGGAAAGATGAAGGTATACGAGCAGGGTGACAGTGAAGCTAGGAGGCTTTGTGGCCAGTTGGACAGGGATATGTGAAGGGCACTGAATTCCAGTGGGTGCCACTTGGGAGGGAGGCTTCAGGGCTGTCTGTGGACCTCACCTTTTTGGCCATCTTGACCTGAGGTTTGGATGATCTCAATAGTGAGGAAAAATTAAGAACTCAGAACAAATAAGAATATGAAATTTAAATTAAATAAATCCTTCATTTTAGTTCAGAACTTTAGTGTGCATTTGTGCTAGGGGAAGATCTTACTTTCCGTGGGAGAAAGGCCAAGGGTTTTTTGGTGGCTGTGGTCACCACACGAATGACCAATGTGATACAACTGCTGTAAGAATTAAAGATGCCTTTTAATTAGAAATGATTTCGGTAATAAGGAGGCAGTAGTCCCACTCTGCCCTGCTATAGTCAGACTACATTTAGGGTGTTGTTCACTGCTAGCTATCGCATTTCCATTTTGTGGGGAGATCTGCTACACAGCTGGAGTGAACCTGGGTAGTGAAAGGCCTGGAAAGCGACTTAATCAAGGAACAGTTGGAGGACCTTGGGACATTTTAGTTAGAGAAGAGCAAGCTGGGACAGTGGACTAGTGACCTGATATCTGGTTTCAAATATTTAAAGGAAGGTCAAGTAGAACAGGGAGCAAACTGCTGCATCACTCCGGTACCAAATATGGGGTAACAGGAGTGATTTAAGCAATGAGAGCTGTTAGATAATAGAATGATTTGCTCGTTGTTGGATGAATATAAGGAGAGGGAACAGGAAGGCTGTTTAGGAAAGTTGTGGACGCCATATATCCGGAGGGCTAAAAGCATGGGCTTGGGAGCCGAGCAGATTGATGCTTCAGCTCTGGCCTTGCTAGTGGCTGAGTGACCTTGGGCAATGCATTTAATATCTCCATGACTCAAGTTTCTCATCTATACAATGCAGAAAACAACAGCACCTTTATCCTGAGGTGGTTGTGAGGATTTAAATGAAATAATTCATGTGAAATACTTATATTACCTGGCATTGAGTTAATAGTCAATAAATGACAGGTATTGCCATGACCAGTCCTGATGTGAGGGAGGGCTAAAATAGACACTCTCCTTCCCAAATCTTATATTTCATATTTCTGATCAATGTAAGGATTAAAAGGGACAAATGTATCTAGGTCATAGCCCTAGAGAGCCTTTAATTACTTTTTTCCCCTGTGTTCTACTCAGTGCTCCTTTCAACTTCTTGAGGGGTGCATCTTGGGGAAGAAGTGTCAATCTTCTTTTTCTCAAATACATGTAATTAAAACTAACGTGGCAGTGTACCTGAGAAGGTGCACTCCATTCTGGGGACCCAGGGAGTGTGCTTTTGCTCATGTTCTTGAGAAATGGTAATCACATTATGCAGAAAACCAGAAAAGGATATGCCTAAATTAAAATCGTGTCAGAGATTTTTATGCCTACCAATTTGTTATTGTTTCTATGCCTTGTATTAATATGAGTTGAATGAGTATTTAAATAATTGTGCAATTAAAAAGAATTACATTCATCGTTAGAGAAAAAAAGGCAAATGCAACAGAGGAGGCGTAACCGCACAGTATGTTTTTATTCAGCTTCCTGGTCGAATCCTGCCACAGTGTGCTGACAGTACACCCATGCCACATTTTTTGAGAGAAAAAACCATTTCCAGGAGCCTAGCTTTTCTTCATCCATTCCCACAGCCACCTCCTGCCTCTAAAGTGCTTGAAGACACAGTAGGAAGGCACCAGAGGGCATTCTCAGATCATCTATTGTCAAGGAAATACAGCTGGGAAGTACAAAACAATTCTCCACTTTGGCCAGTTTTGGATGAAGTGGTGGTTTCTAACACACGCTCAGAAACACTTGGAGTCTGAAAGCTGCCATGCTAAATAAACTGCCATTCAACCTTGGGGTATCAGCAGAGGCATTTGACTGAGTGACCCCAGTTCACAGGACAATCAAGGTTGTCCTCAGAAGCTGGGCAGGCATCATGGGCAAGCAGAGAAACCTGCCTGAAAATCCAGAGATGTGGGGATCTTGGTTCCAGCATTAACTGCTTTTGTGACCTTCAGCAAATTACTTTGTGCTTCAGATCTTAGTTTTCCCATCTGTAAAAGGAAGACACGAAGGAATACATGAAGATCATTTTGAAGTCTAACTCTTGGTGGTGGAATTCCTTTCTTTTTTTACTCTCCCTCTCTTCCTTCCTTCCTGATGAAACTAAAGGAGAAACTGGGATATAGTAATACTGTGTTTGGAGTAGGTCTGCTCTGACCTTCTAGTGCTGAAGAGACAGTCTCTGAGGATTGGCAATGCACACTGCTCATTGCGAGTTGAAAGCTGAGCAGCCAGGCTTTGAGTGGCTTTCAAGTTTATTCAGGCTTTTCTGACTTGGGCATGTTTACCTTCATAGTTGGAACAGCCATGGGATGTATACAATCTAGAATCTAGGAACATGGACTCTACACAAGAATTCTGGAGAAAAAATATGACATTTCTAGTGTTAAACAGAGATATTATGGAACATAGGTTAAAATTTTGCATGCATTTTTACTGTGAAAAAAGACTTTAAAAATGTGGGGTCTGTAGTTGGATGCTTTGGGTTGTACTTTTGTATCTCCTAAGATTAGAATTATCCTTTGTATTATTTGGAGTGTATTGGAGGGAAGTTTTAGGAAAGCTTGCCCCTTGGGGTACGTTTTGAATGTATCTCAGGCTGGGTTCCCTTGAAGCAGTGCCTGAGGCAAGCATTCAGCTGCATGCAATTCCCTAAGGGCATGGCATATTCTTTAGGGGGGAAAAACCTGCTAGTAAGTGAGAGAAGCAGGAGAGGAAAGGGCAAAAAGCTGTACAATGATGTCCTCTCAAGGAATGTGATCTGATTCATTGTGTGCGTGTGGGTGGGTTCTGATGAATAATTCATACCACAGAATTGACCCACCTCAAGGCACGGGGGCTGGAATTTTGTACACCCATATCAGTTGGTCATCATTTACGGATATCCATGGGTGAAGCCTGAAAGGCGACAGTCTTCAGTCAGGAGGCAATTCCCCAGAGAAAGGAACAGTTATAAGCTGTATGTAGGCATGGTGTGCTGGAGTCAGCTCAACCACAGCTCACAAGTGCTGACTGCACAGCACTTCCCAAATGCCCGTTCTGTGACTTCACCCTGATAGCTTGCAGTCGGCCATGATGGAAGCATTACGTCATGAAAATCAACAAAAGCTACAAATCCCAGGCCTTACACTCCTGCAGGCAGCCAGATGTTAAACGTTTATCAGCACGACCCTGGCCAACCTTCTCTGCAGCGAGAGGCTGGTGTCCTAGCTGGTGAAGGGGATCAGAGGAGGGCACCAACAGCATCTACTACATTGGAGGTGCAAAGGATTTGCCCACAAATGATCTTCCCAACTAATTTGTAAGTTGGCAAAGCCATTCCTTTAGGGGTTGCCTTTCCTAGCCAGAAGAGGAGATGTATACACTATTGAGAATCATAGAACCAAGAATCCACCACACTCCAGTCCAAACGACTGATTATGTTTTATAAGTGCAAGAGAAGAGCAGAGAGGAGGTGAGGAAAGAGTGCATCATCTGAATTACCTGCAGTAAGGGGCAAGAAAGGGCTCTGTTATATTGCCTAGGGACAGAATTTAAAATAGCTATGATGCTATAGTATTTTTTTGAAGATTTTTTTTCAGAATTTATTATTTAAAACACTGCACTTGACTGAGATGATTGATAGACTTTTTATTGTAAAATATTTATTAAGGAAAATTTCAAATATACATAAAAGTATATCTACAGCTAATGAAGAGTGTAATAAACCCTCACATACTCATCCCTCAGATTCAAAAATTATTAACATAACCAATCTTGTTTCATTTATACCTCTACTCACTTTCTCGTGGGAGCATGGGAAGTTTTGGAGACTTAGTTAATTGAATAAAAGTTGATTGTGGCTAGAAAAAAGCTAGAGGCTGGGTGTGGTAGCTTACGCCTGTAATCCCTGGACTTTGGGAGGCCAAGGCAGACAGATCGCTTGAGCCCAGGAGTTTGAGACCAGCCTGGGCAACATGGTGAAACTCTGTCTTTACTAAAAATGCAAAAATTGGCCTGACATGTTGGCTCGCACCTGTAATCCCAGCACTTTGGGAGGCCAAGGCGGGTGGATCTTGAGGTCAGAAGTTCAAGACCAGCCTGGCCAATATGGTGAAACTCTGTCTCTACTAAAAACACAAAAATTAGCTTGGCGTAGTGGCACGTATATGTAGTCCCAGCTGCTCAGGAGGCTGAGGCAGGAGGAATCGCTTGAACCCGAGAGGTGGAGGTTGCAGTGAGCTGAGATCGTGCCACTGAACTCCAGCCTGGGCGACAGAGTGATACTCTGTCTCAAAAAACCAAACCAAACCAAATGAAAACCAAAATCAAACAAACAAATAAAAATGCAAAAATTAGCCAGGTGTGGTGGCGTGTGCCTGTAGTCCTAGCTACTTGGGAGGCAGAGGTAGGATGAACGTGCTTGAGCTCGAGAGGTCGAGGCTGCAGTGAACCATGACTGTGCCACTGCACTCCTGCCTGGGTGATAGAGCAAGGCTCTGTCTCTCTCTCTCTCTCTCTGTCTCTCTCTTTCTCTCTCTCTCACACACACACACCAAAAAAAAAAAAAAAAAAAAAAAAAAAAAGGCAGATTTGGGGAATTTACCAAGGACTGTGGGAAAGGATTTGGCAGATGGAAGACACAGCAGCTAATGGACCACTTTCCCTAACCTATTAGGATTTACTAGGAATCA